CAATTCATTAGGCAAAGAAAGCTGATCTTCTGACCTAGTTTTACTTGTTCAAATAAATAAAGATCCATCCCACCTAATGAGTTAGGACGGAAATAAATACTCAACGCCTTGTTGTTGGTCTCTTCTGCAGTACGAACTGGATATAACATGAATTCTTTCACTTGAAAGGAATATTTTTGATGATGGACGCTCTCAAACAGCATTTGCGGAAGTCATATTCCTCACAGATGAAGGTTGGAATATTTTTTCGGTTACACGTTAGCGAAGAGCATCCCACCAGCCCGAATTTACGTAATTATAAAGCCGGCTACTCATAAGTAGTAAAACGTTTTTATCCCCTTCCGAAGCGTTTAAATAAACACGTTTTTTTGAATAAAAAACCGCATAATTAAGATACAGTGTAACAAAAGAGTTCTAAGTTGGATAAATTTGTGAAAAATGTTGCGAATAAATATCAATATCGTTGGTAAACTTTTAAATAGAAAAGTCAAACGACATTGTATATTGAACTTCATCTGAATGTTCCCAAATAACGTCACCAACTGATTCTGTATCATTTCTCGGGCTCCGTTTATTATAACTTCTAAAAGGTTCCATTGTATTTGTATGGGCAACAACTGTGGGGTTTTCAAAGCCCGTGCACATATCCTAGTCAACTCAAGGAGCGATATGCAGCTTATTAATCGGTGTAAAATGTTGTTCCAGGTTGCACACATCGTTCAGTTATAGGTAGTAGTACCTCGGCTGGTCCGCTTTCTACTTTCTGAAAGTTTCCTTTCATCAGGTTGCGGTCGTACATGCCAAACATCCACAAGGTAGCTAATCTCAAGATAACAAGTTAAAACAAAAGAGGAAAAATTTACTTTTTAAATAAATAAATGCAATTAAATTTTTGTAAAAGATATTTGGAAAAAGAAGTAATAGGGGAGGTTTTCGATAAGGGTCACACTCAAACAGTATTCGTGGGAGTATTATTAATCATCTTCTCGCTTGATGTTGGTAGTAAGAAACGACTGAGTGTTATTAAATTTTATTTTTTCCACATCTATGCAGTTTCTGGACGGGTTAAGACACATGTCGAATTCATTCAATTTCCACCCGGCTGTTACGATTTTAATGTGATTATAAACGTATTGCTGTGTTAGAAACAGAAATGATTCGGCTTCCTCGACAGTGGTCATCGGTGGTTAGAGTGCGGTATGTCATAGAAAAATGGCAAAATCTGTTGAGCAGTAAAATTGGTGGACTCCGTGCAAATACGGCTACCTCCAGTGAGCCCAACCGAAGAAGGGCAAATAGAACATAGACGAGACGAAAGAACGATACCTGAATGAAGTCTTTAGGTCATTCTTATATATAAATTCGAGGTATTTCTTTTACTGTGCCCTTAATATTTTACAACTGCTGCACCAGCAGCCATTGTCCAAATCAAGAAACCGTACATTTTTATGGCGTTCAACCAATAGAAGCAAGGTCGTAATTGGATATTAAATTTCATATATGTTCCGGTTGAGACGGAACAATATCATATTTGACCCCGTTACTAAGGCTAGGAAAACTAAGCGTTGAGAGTAGCGAATGTGATGGAAGTCAAGGTGTTGCACGAGTTTGATCAATACCCGTAGAATATTAATTAGCATGATTACGGTCAACCGAAAACGAACGAGATTTCCACACTGTGTTGATGTCAAAATCTGACAAAGCAACAGTCTAACGTGCCACCTCGTATGTTCGCAAGCCTATCTTTACATGTTGAGTAGGTAGATATATAAGGACAGGATCAAAGTCATGGGTAGCGTCCCTTCGCTCAGTTGGTGGAGATTGCAAGCTTTTCACTCAATTCTTTCTACTGGATGTTGATCAGGATGAAAAGGAAAAGTGTTTCGCGGTTCACGGAGGGCATCAATGGATGCACATAATGAATGGCTTTTTTATTGGAGGCTGTTATTTTTTCAACCATCAGCAACATAATGAGGAAAGGTATTGGTTACAACCCGACAAGCTGTTCCAAACTTGATGTGATATATTAACAGCGCGACAGCATCCATCCAGCAGAATAACGAACTGAAACCCATACTTATGCGAGCTACAAACATGATACCTAGATGTTTTGCAAGGTACGAAATTTTCACTTTCCTCCGTGTACCCCAAACGTGTGCAGAATATTTCACTGCTCACCGACTGATCTTCACAATTCAACCTTAGAATGAATCCTTCCAAGTGTAATGATGTCTTGTTTTCTTTGCTGGAGAGTGACCAGTACATTGATGTGATGAACTCTTGCCAGCATGTCATTATCAATGCTGAACAAATTTCCAGAGCGTAGTCCATCAACTACCGCAGAGTCACCATTTTGTGTAATTTTTCTTGGTCTCCTCATGTGGTCGAGACGTTTCACAAAGTCAGGAAACTCATGTCTTAAATTATTCCTTCGAAAGTGCTATCTACCCCAATTCACTTAATAAAAAGTTTTGTCTTCTCTTTTATCCGTCTCCACTGGCTTTATGCATCCCCAGTGATTTTTCCGGGTCTTCTCATCAAACACTTCAAACTCATATGTGCATCCATCAAACACGTTTTGCAGTTGATAACTTGACAGCACTTTGCGGCTTGCAAGAAAAATTCTACCAGAATACTAATAGACCCGTCTCACTCTCTGTCCGCTCATCTCAGTCAATGTATTTTCCACATTTATCACTCCTTATAAGCATAAACATAAAGCAGCATGCACCACAATATACCGTACTTGGCACGGTTTCTTAATAACGCTGATCTTGTCATTGAAACCCCTTAACACAAACTTCTGTAAATTTGCCTTATTTCTTTGTATATCTTGCGTATCATCTTCCATTTTGATTTGCCATGCCTTCGAACCAAAGAAAGATTGTACAGTAGCTGATATTTCATCGCGGATGGGGTGATTTAAAGTCGCTAATTGATTTGACTTGACTTGACTTGTTATGAGTAAGAACACATTTTAGATCCCACAGAGCACAATGAAGACTGTGAAATAAATTAGAAAAGAACAGCAAACGTGCAGTCTCCTCGGAAACAAATCTATTCCAAGTTTCAACCGTAACATTCGAGCTACTATTAGATGGTATGCTCTCTAAACAAGGCCACATACATGCAGGCATAGACGGGATAAATGGAATCTATTTGAAACTTCGAAAACTTCTATAACTCAATGAACAATAAATCGATGAGTCCAAGAGATTCATCATGTCGTATCGACTGTTCTGCGCACGAACGACAACGCCCAGCTTCGGTTCGAAGCAGTCCGAATCAATCCATGTCGATCACGGGGTATCAGTTGTGGCAGCTTTTCGTTTGCTTCGCCCAGTGTATTGCTTGGTCAACAACCTTGAGAAGTGAAATTCTCGCCTGATTTGAAGTCGGAAACTGATGTGTCTAAATGGCACAGTTGAAAGTTTGGACACGGGAACAACATGTATCTAGATAATTTAACAACCGACTAGAGAAGTAAACTCGAACTACTTTGTGATAATTGTTTCGATTTAGATCAAGTCAAGCTATGTAGAAAAGTAAATCATCTATATTCGTATGATATGTTCACATCCTCAATGGAATCAGTCGCACATAGGCCAGCTACGAAATTCTACCAAGCTGTTTATGCACACCGTGATTACAGCCAACTCTCGAGCAAGATTTTTCCTTTATTTTTGTATGCAGGCGAACGGGAAAGTGGGAGATTGACTGAGTAGTGGGTGGGATCAGGTCCATTACGGCTGAAGTAAATCACGGACCTACGGGTACGCGTCTCATTCTTCGATTGAATCAATGTCCAATTGAAACTTTATCAGAACAACCATGGAAACGTTGCGGTCGTTGCAAATGTTTATCAAATAACTATTCATGTCCCTCGAAATAGCAATTCCCTTCGCGCTACTACAATCAAACGATTTGACCGAGCGGACGGATTCGAATAAAATCTACAGGAACAATCACTTTGTAGAGTATCATTTCATTGTGAGCAAATGTTTGAAAACACGAGATGCAGGTACTAACAACAGTGCAGTGAATCGAGTGTGACGGGCTTAGTGAAGACCGAGTGAATTCAACAGCGCTTTTCACATCCCAAACGTGGCGCGTTGACGTGTAGCGTGTTAGTCATGTAGTCAATTATTCAAAATGCATGTTAACTTTAATAAACCGGAAAAATAACCCCCTTTGTTGTTGTGTTAATTCACATCAATCTGATTGGAAGGGAACCGTATTATAAAAGCTCATTTCTCCATCGTTTGATCTTTGTAACTGGTATTGTCCAAGCCATGAAAATGAGTACTGAGAGTACTGTTCGGCTTCTATGTGTATGGAAGGCGGATGAGTAAGTTAGTACAATACGCTTTTGTGCACAGCTTATTTGTGGTGCTTCACCAGTGTTTGTGATTTTGATATTTAAAACGTTTCGTATGTTTTTATTGGCTTGGCACACGCGATGTATACATTTTGTAATGGGAAGTGGTCTTTTACTTGGAGATTATTTTAATTTTGTGCTTGAGGCAGAGGAATAATGAATATACAACCTACCTGACTTTGGGCGGGTATCATTATACAACTGAGCACAACTAAACCCACGATTGACCAATTCACTCCACTGTTTGTTGCAAATATGTTTTCCGCACCATGTGACGTCCGACCTGGTGACGCCCAACAACTCGCATGGAATCGAACCAGATGTTTCAGAAACGATAAATGATGACTTAAGACGGACGTTTTCATTCGAGAAATCGTGGTTCTAGAACAGATAAAGTCAAGTGAAAAATGTGCGCCACTACTGATAGCTCGCGTCGAAAATATAAAACAGGATGATAGCTTTCCAGATTTAATTAATGGTTTGCTCGCCAATAGTAAGATATACTGACTGAAGAAAACTATTTTCCTTCTAATCAGCATTTGCTTACCTTGAATTCATCAACTGATTCCAAGGAAACAAGCAGACGTCAACTAGACTGAACGAGTGTGTGCGTGCGTGAAATATGTTCGCCTCATACCAATCTGCATTGCCGTTCACGTCATCACATATTTATATCGGAAGGGATTATGCAATTTCTGTTCAGTGTCGAGAATGCTTTGTCTTCTCACCATTTGATATCATCGAGGTTGAGGAGATTTTCTATGTTGGTATGATTTGTGACAAAGGAGTGCCAAACACCAAGGACAAATTCCAATATACAGCAGTTTGTGAACTAGTTTGCCCCCAATTTATTTTACAGCTTCCAAATCAGATCGATTTCATAATGAACAAGGTGATACGCATCCACTTGAAGAAGTTAAGGAACCGGAAGACGAGCAAGATGAGGAAAACGAGGAAGATGAAGACGGAGAATATGTGCAATCGACGGCTGAGGCTCCAGGCAGGTTTCGTTGGATCTCTATGAACTGTCACTTTCCTCACTCCTCATCCATTTCCCTCCTCTGCAGAAAGAAATATACACAACGGGAACACTCCCGGTTCACGGAAATTCAGAAAGAAATTTCATTTCTACCCGAGTGGACTTGACAGACTAGATAAGATATTAGTCGGTTCACGCTCCCACACAGTACCTATGTCTACTGATAGAAGAACGATTTGATAACGAACGCGACGAGCAACGCGAGGAAAGTTGTAAACGATGTTACAGAAGACGAAATCTTGGCAAGAGTCGCAGATTCCATCCACGTCATGAACATAAACACAACCGCGAAGAAACAGCCAGATGGTGTTCCGTTTTGGAATAGATGGGAGTATAATGTGTAATATGCACTGGCATTTGATTAAATCTGATGGTTTCTATTACATTGTTTCTACATAAATTTGATCCTGCTTAACTCTTTTGTTCTATCCTGACTGAGATCTAGTCTATTCTCATCTTAATCGTTGGTCATCCGAAGCACCCAAAGCAAATAACTACCAACTACCTGTATTACCACCACAATCGGTTTTTCCCCAAAAATCATAGCATCGACGGTGCAGTGTTTGAAAAGGAATTTAGCTCCTGGAATAGGTAACATTCGTCCACAAACCCTTATTAGTCTGACAACCAAGAAAATAAGAAGTATTATACAAAGGCGACTGTTGTAATGACAGCTTTCTGCCACCCCCTATTATCCCAATGCATGGAATTCACTGTTGCAGAAAATATGATGAGTCAAGTAGAAAAAATACAACGTTTTATCCCCTGTGCAATATGGGGTTCACCACACGAGAGATCGCGTACCGCTAATCTGCTTCTGGCCCGAGAGGAGTGGTCCAAGGTAGTTGATCACGGTGATGCAGTGGACGCAGTAGACTCACAACTTCTCCAAAGCATTTAATTAAGTGAACCACAAAACAGTTATAGGAAAACTCTATAAAACATGAAATTCAGGGATTTTCATTGGGTTGTATAGAAGAAATTCTTGGAAAACGCGTTCTGGGTTTCTAGGCCACTGTTTTACACTATCAGCGTAGAGATAAGTCATTGGTCCTAAAGCTTCTTCTAGTTTTCATGAACGATCTAACCTACATTCTGTGACTACCGACGATAATGTTTGCAGACGATAGAAAATATAGAAATCAGTGACAAAACATGAGGACTCACTGGCCCTTGGAGAACACTTGATGTTGCCTATCAACGGTCGATGGAAAATGAAATCTAATTTAATGCATCACAATGTACGGTCGTAACATTTCGCACAAAACTCAGTTTGCATACTTCCTGGGATATGAACGAATTCCGTATGTCTCAAATGAGAGAGATCTTGGTTCCACTGTTCAAGACGACCGAAGTTGTTCTTTAAACTGCTCCAGGGTTTCGTCCACCGTTGTGAGATATGTGTTTGGCTAATCTGAACATATGCTTCTCCTTCGTAAATTATGCTATTCAAGCATGGAATCTACGGCTGCAACGCGATCGTAGGATTTCGGCGTGTCCATAATGAGTGGCCACCGAAAGGCCAAGGGAACGCATTCCAAGAAACATGTGGAATCATTGGAATCATTGGGGCTACACTACACAAAGTATAGGTGAATTCGAAAGACTTCTGTTTGGTCTTCCAAATTATACAACGAACGAATCAAAGATCATTGGCGACATCCCTTATCTTTCTATGAACCGTAAATCGACCTATTCTTGCTAAACCCTGTGGGGTAAGATAAGCAATGCACGGGTGACACCAAAGGCAGCACTGGATTTAAAGTTTTACACCTACTGAACACAGCCACTAAATCACCTTTATCGGTAAAGCATGTACGGGTGAGCCTTGATGACACGCGAAATACACGAAATGCAACAGATAAAGTTGAAATAGCTCACACGAAGCTCAAAAGGAAGCTGAACTGTCGCTATGGAACAGTTTGACATTAGGGTTAATGCAGACTGAATAATAATCGATTAGAGAACAATAAGACGGTGGTGGCCCAGTGGCAAAGTCACCAAATTATCACCCCGTGGATGTGTGTTCGGATGCTACCACCACTGTCTGATTTGTGTATTCAATCAAAGGAATTAAAATGAAAACACAAAAAGAATGCTTTACTCAAAATTTACTACTCCGGAATTGCTCACTCCTCCGGTTTCAAGTCTCTACCATCCGTTTGAACTTTCCCGGAGAACACCAACTTTGTCCCTCCGACTGATTTTCTCACATTATTGAAGCAAATTAAGTCTAAAAAGCCCCATGGGCCGGACTCTTTATCCCTCGACACCCTGTATTCATTGAAAACCTGTGCCGAACATCTTGCAACCCCCATTGCTGAGTTGTTCAGGTTGTGAATAGTTTCATGGATTGTCGCGAATTTATTAATCTTGACTGCTGAAACCGTTCACACAAGGTCAACCATGTAGCTCAGCAGTAACCCTACGAAGTGCCAACTTTAATATGCACGGTTCGAGTCCTGACAGTATTAAAAGTAATGTTTACTATTGATAAGTCCCGGAGAGGACAAAAAACCTGTCCAATGCTCCTTGTCGGTTATCACAAATCCTTCCACGTTGTATAAACGCATTCAACCAGTGAGGAATTAATGATATCTCAAGAAGTGAACCCCAGATCCAAGATCATCAGCAGAACTTGGTGCCTATGAATAATTGATTAGATTATTCCAAATTTACTACTCTGAAAAAATCCCACTTTTAATATCCAGCACACTGAAATCTAGATTGTTGAACAATCTTGTTTCAAATAATTGAACCCTAAGCGCCATGCTAATCAATATTGCGATGTTCAGAAGGAAGACAATACTGTGTTTCTAGCCATTCCTTAGCTTTAATAGTACACGGAATCCACAAACGTCTACGGATGACGGTTTGGGTGAAAATTTATCCAAGATTATGTGATCTAGTTTTGGAACCGGTTTTGCTCATAGTATCGCATTTCAAACCAGTCAACGGGATCTACAAACTGCTATGAGTGACGGTCGTTCACTTTCGGCCGCGTCAATGTTATTTGCCACTTGGTTTGAACGCAGCCTTCTATACAAATAAAAATATCATCACTGTTGCAGTTTTCTACGAAATATTTGCCCTCGACTAGATTGAACAACGAGCTTTCAATGTAAATGAGCAGAGCAATAACTGTTCTTTTCCCTAAACGTTCAATTTCCTTGTTTTTCCAGCTCAGTTGAATGATATATTTGACGACATTTTTCGAATTAAATGTTCATATAACGTTTCGTTCCTAGACTACATGTTCAATGAAGTATGGCAAAATATTCCATGCCCTGAGGCGATCAACTGATGGTTTGTTGATGAGTGAAAACGTTTATTCCAGAATTTTACCAGCAATTCAGTGAGATCACATTGCGTTGTTGGCTGTTATGATGTAGTTTGGTCTTTGTATGGTATGCTTGAAGATCACGCATATGAAGTTTCTAACTCACTCTATTGTTCGGGATGTTTTGGAGTCTGGTTTCTACTTGTCTTATGAAATTAAAACAAGATTTTTGCAGTTGTTCCGTAACAACTAACTATTCGTTACGCATCAAAAGAGAATTAATGTCAGTGTAAGCGTTGAGTAGGGCTTTTCAGGAAACGCTTTCAGATATACCCTTCTCGCGTACTCTTGTGCGGCGAAAAGTCCCGGTGCGCTACGGAGGCTTTGTAGCCTTTCACTGACTCCTTTTCGAACTGTATTTGCATGATTGCAAATATGAGTACTGCTTCACTACTGTTTCGAAATATCAAGAGTTCCCCAAGCAATGGTAGTCCACAGTATAATTTGTCAATCTATCCATAGAACGAAAAGTAAACGTTCCGGTTTCGAAACCGTGGTCAGTTACAGGTTCGTTTCCAAGCAGCCACTATGGAAGTTTTGTCTAGAGGTTCGCGTGAGTGAGGACTTTGCCATCATCAGTGCGCTAGGGATCTGTCTTCCAGTGGTTTGGTGACGCGCATTTTCGAACCACAAGCTTTATTCCAGCCACTAGGACCTTCGTTACCTATTCAAGGAGCAAGGAGCAAAATTTTTGAGTAATCTGCCTTCAGTTACTCAAGTGAAAGAGCGGGAAATAACTGAGTGTGTTTAATGGAATCGGTATCTAAGTGATATGGATAGTCAATTCCCCCTACACAGCAACAGACTATTTCTATTGGTCACCAGACAGAGATTGGTTCACTCATGTGGTCCAATGCGAACAAAATGATCACATAAGCAAAGTGAACTGGATAGCATACGAACCTTCACAATAGGATCATGCTAAACAGACACAAAAAATAATTTAGGGTTAGCTTCAAAATACCTCAATGAAACGGGGTAGACGAGCGGTCAGCTTTCTTTCAGCCCAGTACGTCAATGAACAAATGGGCAGCAACCTAATAGAGATCAAGGTAGTGTTTGAAAAAATATATTCAAAACTCAACATTTGAGTTTGGTGGATCGTGAAATGAACTTTTCGAACCAGATAAAGCCTGATTTTAAATATCTGACGTGGTATAATTTGAGCAGACATGCACCATTTGAAACGAGGACGTTGTGGTTGGTTGAAGATAAAAACACAGCCCACATCTGCACTATCATCTTAGTTCGCATACGTTTAAACACTTAAGAATAACTGGGGGATTCCACATTTGACTTCTTGCAGAAAAACGGTCACCAATGAACAATCGATGATTTGGACATCGACTTTCATGGAAAACAGAGATAAGGAGTGGTATCGATGATCCGTGAGAGGATTGTGTCACATGGTGTGCGGACTTCGTTCCAGTGAATAGGTGGACAGTTGCGTACACAATGATACAGGGTGACGGAAATGAATCACAAGCGGCGTATGCTAACTGTAGACTTTCCATGCCATTAGAGGCACCTGACACAAGCTCAAAGACTGAAAACCCAGCTGAATGAACGTGCGCCATACAGACGCTTGGATTCCGTTCGTTTTCGCCCTTCAATCCGACAGCGGCATGTGGGCCGATCACAGCTGGATCAAAGTTAAAGAACTTTGGCAATTCAGTAAATCTATGAAACTTGCTAAACTCGCTTATTGTGTTATAATTCATCTAGTGGAATTCAGCTATTACAGGCATTGTGCTCCTAGGGTAATTAAGTAGATGAGTACACAGTGAGTTATGCAAAGCGTTTATTGTAGGTGGCAAACACGTAACCCGTTTTTAGACCGAGGAGAAAGCGGAGATCAGCGTAGTGTTAGTAAAGGTATATTCAAAAGGTCAGATTAGAGTTTGGTGAGTCGTGGAATGAATGCTTTGAACCAGATAAGCATGTCGGTAAATGTATGGCGTCACTCACGTCTAGCACAGCCCGAACAGACCTATATCATTCTTCTGAACGTCGTGGTCGTTTGAAGATAGATAACTGAGCTTACGGATGCACCATTGCCGTAGGTGCACACGTAATTTCTCATCCGCATTTCTCATGTTGATAATCATGTCTAATATTTTGTAATATTATGATTAGGAACAACCAAAAACGAACGAGATTTTCACACTTGTGTTGTGAGAATCTGACATAGCAATAGTCTTACATGCCACCTCGTACCTCCATAAACCTCTCTTTACATTTTAGGTAGGTAAAACATTAAGGACCCGTGAAACTCGCATCAGTAAGTATTAGTTACCGTTTCCCTGCATACCATTTGCCACCAAATGGCACACAAGGGCGCAGTAATTTCGATTCAAAGTTTGGGGAATTTAAAAGCTGAATCTCAGCAATCATTCGGACCGAGAGTGTGCATTCCAAACGTTCGCTGGTATTCATGTCTGTGACATAGTTCTGGCCTGTTGTTGCGTCGGAATCCCATGTAACGCGATATGCCCACTGGAGAGAACCCCGGGTTTGCGAACAATGCGA